CCAACAAGTAAAGGGTCAATAATGATACCGACCAATCTAGCGATGTACGGTACATATTTTACGCGATGGGATTGTATTTTTCACCAATTTTAGCACATAATTACATGGCTCAATTTGAAGAATGTTTAGTTCAGGAGACACTTTTAGTTCCTAACTTATTAGTTCGCTATATGGACGACAACTTTGCTATTTGGCAACATGGAAAAAAAACCATAAAATTTTCTTAGTTTGATGAGCAGTTTTAATGGAAAGACGAAATTCACCATCGAGTTAGAAAAGGAAGGGGGTTTACCTTTTATTGATTTCATAGTTAGCAGAGAGGGGACAAGATTAGGTAGATATGTGTATAGGAAACACACAAATGCAAGTTTCCTATTGAATTTCCTTTCCAACAACACTTATGGAGTTAAAATAGGAGTTATGAAGTCTATGCTGATAAGAAGCCAGCGTATGGCAGATTTTAAGCTTTGGGACCAGGAATTTAAAAGACTAAGGAGAATTCTAGTTGATAACAATTATCCACAAGGGCTGATTGACAATGAATTTGGAATATTGTCAAATAGGATGAATGAAAATGCATATTTGGAGCTACCACTATAACAGTTTCCTAATGCGACCATCGTGAAAGTTACGAAGAAAAGTTGGGTTTCGAGGAATCTCTTATTTCATAATTGTTGAACTTACTTCCATGTCAAGTAAAAGTGTGCGGTGAAGAGATTCGAAGGTCGGTTCCACCAGAAGACGACGGCCGATTCTGCTCTGGAAGATTCATGCTGACGCTGTTTCCGAGGCAATATCACTCGATTCAAGAAAACTCATCAGCTTGAATTTGGTTGTGACGATGCTACCTCGCTCTGGTGATGTCCGTCATTTGAAGGACGAAAGATTAGCACCTTTTCACCGGAATCGAAGGAGATTGCCTCGGAAACAGCATCAGCATGAATGCTCAAGTAAAGCCAATCGCCGTCGTCTTCTGGTGGAACCGACCTTCGAATCTCTTCACGCAACAATTCCACTCGAAATGGAAGTAAGCTCAACAATAGTGTAAGCTGTCAAAGAAGAGATGCGAATTGCTGAGGTAGAAAATCAGTATTATTCATAGAGGAAATAGCTCTTTCCTCGGTATCTCCTCCTTTCCGCGAATACTCTGAACCACTCTCCGGGTCGGGCTGTTACAAGATCTTGTGTTCATGTGGTAGAGCCGAAGTGGGAGAGACATTTAGACCCATACTATTTGACAATATTCCAAAACAGTTGTCAACCAGCTCTCTTTCATAATTGTTCTTAACCAGAATTAGCCTTGGCTCCTCAGTTCCTGGTCCCGATGTTTGTGTGGTGGTGTCTATGTTTGAGAGACCTGTGTGTCCATACAGAAGAACACACAACAGCCTGCACGGTTATGTGGGTGCACACATCGGAATTGGCCGAACACATGCCTGGCACAGGACACCAGATAGATTAGCTGGACATGTGGACTGTACCAACCGGTAAGCGAAAGATTAGGGAGGCGACAAGCTGAATAGAAGGAATGAGTGTAGGCAATTGAGCGGAAACTACTTGTGGTTGTTGGATGGGTTTAGAGAGAGAGAG